CAAAAAAAAAAAAAAAAAAAAAAAAAAAAAAAGAATAGGGATGCAGCACAGCATGCAGACAAGGGTCAGAAATTCAGATGAGCAGCCCAGAAAGATGAGGTAAACTAGTCAGATGAGTCTAATGTTAAAAAAAATAGGGGCCGGTGGTGACTGTGACTAAATGCAGCAAAACTCCCTGCTTGAGTGAGAAGCCACTGCTTAACTCCAAGGTCACTTGGTGACATTCAGGAGTCTTCTGATTATTATAAGACTGGCCAGAAATCAGATTTTTTGTTTTAAATATTGGCAATTAATTACATCTTTGGCAAACACATTGTGCAGGCCAAATAAAACACATTTAAGCCACTAGGTAGCAAGCTCTGAGTGGCATCAACAATCAGAAAAAACAGACAAAAGAAGGAAAAGGGCAGGAGACTGTCGTTTTTCATTTGAAGCTCTTCTCTACTCTCTGATATTTTACTTATGTGTGAGTAAATGCTTGATGAAGATGTCTTCCTTGTTTTTATTACTATTATTTTTATAAATTGTCACGTTCATATGTGTTCTTAATAGGAAAAAAGAAAACACAGATAAACAAAACCATCCAAAATCTACCACCAGGGGATTAACCACCACTATTCATATTTGTGTGTATTTTAATTATATGTATAAAATCAAGTTGAAGTTACCTTGTAGAATCTGTTTTGAAAGATGCTTTTTTTTTTTTTCCACTTTATGCATCTTGAATATAAAAGTCTTTATTTGGAATTATCCTAAGATCCTAAGAAAAAGACTTGGTGGGGGTGTAACTGGAGAGGTCTGGCGATAGCCTCAGGGGCACAGAGGGAGGCACTTTCCTGTCCTGGGTGGGCTTCTGTATTCAGGACGAGTGTTATGGTGGGGGAGTGTCTGCACTCCTGGGATGTTGATAGGCATGTGGATAAGCAAAGGATGGAGAGGAGGTTGTTAAAAGAGAGAACGCGTTTTTTTTCAAAAAATAGTTGGACAGAAGAGAAGTGACTTCCTAAGGTAGCCAGGTATTTAAAAAATATTCTGATGGCTTCCACAGGTTGAATGGGCCCATCGTGTGCATGCTGGCTACTCAAAAGGTATAAAGAGGGCTTCCCTGGTGGCGCAGTGGTTGAGAGTCCGCCTGCCGATGCGGGGGAGACGGGTTCCTGCCCCGGTCCGGGAGGATCCCACATGCCGTGGAGCGGCTGGGCCCGTGAGCCATGGCCCCTGGGCCTGCGCGTCCGGAGCCTGTGCTCCACAGCGGGAGGGGCCACAGCAGTGAGAGGCCCGCGTACCACACACACAAAAAAAAGGTATAAACATTTTGAAAACATTCCCTCTGCACCAAATGTTCCTTTAGTTAAAATAACTTGAGTAAGAAAGAGACCTTTGAAAATGCAGTTCTTGCAACATTTTTCCAGGAGAGACTGAAGAATATGAAAATTATCAGAAGGTATTTTCCCTCCAAAAGCAGTCAAGGGGCTGTTAGTGTTTTGCCCTTGGTATTCTTTCAAGTGGGCCATTGTGAGCGTGATTATCAGTAAACTGGTCCATGAACGTCTGGATTTATAAAGCAAACGTAATGAGAGATTAGCTACTTTGCCAAAGCATCTCTTCTTTATAGAGAGTCTGGCTGCAGGGATCTTTGAACTAGAGCCTTTAACCATAGAATTTAGTCTATCGATCACTAAGCCCGTGAAACTTGAAGCACGCGGAATGTCTGCAATCTCCTGTTTCACAATTTGTAAAACCCTTTTTATCATCATGAGAAACTTGCAGTAAGAATCTTATTTGCCTGGAATGCACGTGTAGAAATGAAAGGTCCAGGGGATGTTCTGGCTTGAACTTGATCATGGTAGTGAGTGATGACCAGGGCTTGCACATGATGGCACATGCTGGAGGAGGAGGTGGTGGAGGGAAAGCAGGGGTCAGTGGTCATTGGAACCCTGGGGGTGGCGGCAGCTCCCTGTGTCCCTGTGGGCTGGGCTCTGGGCTTGTGCTGTACGTGCCTTCTCTCCTTTCATCCTCACGGCAAAATCATGAATAGCCAAAATGGACTATTATTGTGTCCATTTTACTTCAGGAAGCTGAAGTTTGGGCTCTGGAAAGGCCTTTCTAAAAGTCACCCATTGGTGAATAGCACAGCATGGATTGGAAGGTCTGCTGATGGGTTTTCAGCTGCTATGTCATCCCGCAGGATTCTGATTTCTACCTCTCACTTTGGTGAGACCAATTTTAATGGCAAAGATGAAGTTCAAGGTGTGAATCCAGAATCACCTCCATCCCACAACCCTGGGTGAGGGACATACAATCAAAATATCAACAAGAGGCTAATAATTTTATATTTATGGCCAAGGGACGCCCCCCAACCACCAACCACAATATGCTACATGCTTTTACAAGCTTCTATAAAGCACTGCAGGTAGCATCACACATGCCCTGCAGGCCCACACATCCACACCTCTGAGAGTGAGGGGGGCGGACAGTGGCCAGAATGGAAGAGAATGATGCACAAGGTGGGGAAAGGTGGCTAAAACCTACATTTCAAAGGGGAAAAAGGATCTCCCATTTTTTGAAATTATCTACAAAACAGAAGCAGATTCACAGACATGGAGAACAGACTTGTTTCCTATGCCTGGAAAGCCACTTGAACTTCCCAGGCCTCGGTGTTTTCGTCTGTAAGTTGGGAGCAGTAAATCTGCAAGTGAAATTTTGCCAGAAATGTATATAAAGTTGATTTAAAGTTTGTTGTGACCATCCATGAGGAGCATATGACCTCAAAAGCACTTGCTTTTGGGGGCTGATTTTGTAAGTGGGGGAAAAATCTTAATTTCAAAGATTAGATCCTTGTGCCAAATTAATTTGGGGTGCTCTTGGGCCTGGAAATCAAAACAGGAAGGGGATTATTTCCAGCACCTAATGGAAGCACCTAGGAAGATGATCCATTTATTCTTGATGAAGTTCTGTACTTTTTTTTTTTTGAGGGGGGGTACATGGGCCTCTCACTGTTGTGGTCTCTCCTGTTGCAGAGCACAGGCTCCAGACTCTCAGGCTCAGTGGCCGTGGCTCACGGGCCTAGCCGCTCCGCGGCATGGGGGATCTTCCCGGACTGGGGCAAGAACCCGCGTCCCCTACATCGGCAGGTGGACTCTCAACCACTGCGCCACCAGGGAAGCCCAAGGTTCATACTTTTTGATGAAGGTTTGTACTTTGGGTCACGACAACCTTGCTAGGGACAGGAATGAAGGGGGAGGGGGGTGGGGGAGGGATGGACTGGGAGTTTGGGATTACCAGATGCAAACTATTATGTATAGAATGGATAAACAACAAGGTCCTACTGTAGAGCACAGGGAACTATATTCAATAACCTGTGATAAACTATAATGGAAGAGAATATGAAAAAGAATGTATATATATATATATAACCGAATCACTTTGCTGTAGAGCAGAAAATAACACAACATTGTAAATCAACTATGCTTCACTAAAATAAACTTTAAAAAAAGAATCTCCCATTTTTGACCCTTTCTTCTTAACTATCAGATGTGCAAAAATATTAGATTCATTGTGGCTAATAAGATAGCAGCTGGTTCCATGGATAATACTGTTCATTTATTATATGTATCCATCTGTCATCTTTTCTTTCCTCAGAGGAAAAGGAAAAAATCTTTTAGGACCAAGGTGTAAACCCATGGTCCAGTGGATCTCTCTTGTTTGGATTATACAGTGTTTGAGGAAGAAATTATAAAAGTTGCCTCTGCTGGGACTTCCCTGGCGGTCCAGTGGTTAGGACTCTGTGCTTCTACTGCCGGGGGCCCGGGTGGGTTCAATCCCTGGTCAGGGAACTAAGATCCCACAAGCTGCGCGGTGTGACTGAAAATAATAATAATAATAATAATAATAATAAATGTCTTTAAAAAAAAGTTGCCTCTACTGAAAAATTAGGAGATTTTGGGTAACAATTTGGTTTTCTTTAAAAATCAGGGCTGAGGGGCTTCCCCGGTGGCGCAGTGGTTGAGAGTCCGCCTGCCGATGCAGGGGACACTGGTTCGTGCCCCGGTCCGGGAAGATCCCGCATGCTGCGGAGAGGCTGGGCCCGTGAGCCATGGCCGCTGAGCCTGTGCGTCCGGAGGCTGAGGCGCTGGGGCCTGGAGGAGAGGCTGTTTGCCTCAGGTGGGGGTCACTTACAGCGATCTTGGCTTTAACAGCCGCCAGCTTCTCCTGGGCGGCAGTGAGGTCCGAGGTGGCCTTGCTCAGTGCTTGGCGCTTGGGTTCCACGTCACAGAACACCTCGTAGAACTTCACAATGTTTATGACCCAAGAGCAGAGGCCGGCGGCTGCGTAGGACTTGGTGGCCACGAACTCGGGATTGAACTCTGGGTCACGCAGATACGGCTTGATGGCCTTCAGGCAGTTCTCGTGAATGTTCTCCTTGTCAAAGTGGATGAGGGAGTCCAGGAAGCCGTCCACCTTGGCCATGGTGACCTTGGCGGCCTTCCAGCTGCGGTCCTTGGGCACCTTGCTCCCAGGGGCCACGAGAGCCATCACGGCAGCGCTGACGTTGCTGACGGCCGGCGGCGGGGAACCAAAAGACTTCAGCTCTGTCAGGTTGGTCTGGAAGAGAGAGGCAGGTCATTAGAGGAAAACGAACGCCTCTCTTTGTTCCTCGGCCACTGATGGAGCCGGGCTCAGAGCGATCAATCTCAAAGGGCCGCTTTGAAGCCTGAGGCAGCCCTCGGAATTTTAAATATCATGACTCATCAAAAGGGAACCAAGCGACTCCCCAGTGGCTTCAGACTTTCCCGAATGGTTAGCCGAGACTCAGCTAGGTTCTCTCAGTTCTTTGACTCGTGGCCCACCAGAAACACACAAGTTTTTCACATTTAGCTGAAAAATATAAGGATGCCAACATACTCTGAAATATGCAGCATGCCACGAATAAGACAAGGTTACTATAAATTAATTTCTGTCTTGGATTGAAGAGAATAGCACTGTAACCCAACTACTTTTTTTTCTTTAATTAAACTGTCTTGTTCCATGAGCTTGTGCTAACTGCACCTGGCTGTCCTGATAGCAAAGTGGCATTTTCTGCCAAGAAATAATTCAGACAGAAAGCCAGGCACACTCGGTGCCGTCACTTGCCTCTGCCTAGACATGGATTTGTCCTGTGCTCCAAGTTCCACTTGCTCTAGAAAGATATGGCTGAAAGGGCTGACCCTGGAAAGCCACTTGAACTTCCCAGGCCTCAGTGTTTCCATCTGTTAAGTCGGGAGCAGTAAATCTGTAAGTGAAATTTTGTCAGAAATGCAAATAAAGTTGATTTAAAGTTTGTTGCGACCATCCATGAGGAGCATATGACCTCAAAAGCACTTGCTTTTGGGGCTGATTTTGTAAGTGGGGGAAAATCTTAATTTCAAAGATTAGATCCTTGTGCCAAATTAATTTGGGGTGCTCTTGGGCCTGGAAATCAAAACAGGAAGGGGATTATTTCTAGCACCTAATGGAAGCACCTAGGAAGCTGCTCCATTTATTCCTGCAACGGTTTGTACTTTGGGTCATGACAGCCTTGTCAGGGACAGGAAGGAAGGACAGCACAGATGTGGCAGATGTGCTCGCACACCTGTTCTAGTGGTTTCCCCTGGGCGAAAGAGGACAAAGTGTGAAAATACAATCAGAGACGAAAAGCCCACAATTTTAAAATATTAATAGTTTGTTAAGCATGTTCAACACATTGAATTAATAAAATATAAAAATGTATAAAGATGAAATTGAATTCAATAACCCAGATACATCATTGTTAATATTTCAATATAATTCCTTCCAGTTTTTTGGAATATTCATATATATCTATAAATTGATCACAGCTCTGGTTTCGGAGACAGAAAACCTAGCTGAAGTACAAAGGCGGATTTTCTTGCTCATGTGTCTGGGGAGGATGGGACGTGAGGACCAGGGGAACTGCATTTTGAACTGCATCAGCAGGGTTCCCTGGACTCTCTTGTTTCTGCTTCTCCACGTACAGGAGTTTCTTTTTTACAGACCAGCTTCTTCATGTTGCAAGGCACTCAGCTAACCTCTCTGACCTCTACCTGGGCCACTTCCCCAGAGGCTCTCACTGAGCTCTGGGCACACTCACCTCTTCCACTTCCGTCTTCCCACCTCAGGACCCCTGCCTGCAACCCTCCTTCCTATGCCATTTGCCTGGCTGACCCCTTCTCATGCATCCAGATCTCAGTTCAGAAGTCCCCCCACACAGGAATACCCTCCCCGCCAACCTCCTCTTCCTAGTCACTGCCCATCTGAGCACCCTGGTGATGTGCATAGAACGGAGGGCAATCGGAAAAGGTTACCACTGTTTCCTTCTGGAATTACTATACTCCTCTCCTTCATGCGAACAGGGACCTCATCTCTCTCGTTAACCACTGCAGCCCCAGTGCCTAGAACTTCTCCCTCTCAAGGAGGCCCACACCCATCACCTTCTTTAATACTGCAACCTCCCACCTCCTCAATCCCCTCCCCGGCTGCCCTGGCCCCAGAGCTCCCCCTGATTCTGCTCTACGGTTTTCTTTTTTCTGCAGCATCTGTCATATTCTAACGTATTGTATAAAGTACTTTTTCGTTACGCTGCTTGTCTCTCACCCGTCCCCTGTGCTAGAATAGACTCTTCATAGAGGCAGTATCTTCGTTCATGGGTGCACCACATGCACCCAGAACACTGCCTGGCATGGAGTGCAGTCAGGGAGTCTCTGCTGAGTGAATAAATGTGTCTGCACAGTCATTCATTTGGCAAATGGGGATACAGCAGTAAATAAGAAAGGCAAAGTCCTTTTGCTCATGCATGTGGGAGAGGTGGGCAGAAAAAGAGGCCAACCTTTGATATATTGGATAGTGAGAAGTGCTCTGAAAATAAAAACAAAACAGGGCTAATGGGATAGTGGTTTCTTGAGGAATGATGGTGCCACTTTGGCTAGGGAGGGAGACCTGGGAAAGCTTAGAGAAACTGCCATTGCACGTTGGGGAAGGGCAGAGCGTAAATGAGCAGGCGGAGGCAGGCACAAATGCCAGATTCCAGCACGATTTATAAGAGCTCTTCACATATATATGAGGATGCTAACTCTTTTCTTTTCAATTAAAAAAAATTGTTTATGATATTCTGTGACATGTAGAAATTTAGTTTTTATGTAGCCCAATTGAATAATCCTTTTCCAGATGATATCATGCTATCATCCTTTGTTTTTATGCTTAGAAGCGTCTTTCATAAACATATGAAAATTGACCTTACCTTATAATAATTTTTCTAGTTCTTTTACAGTTTGTTTCTTACTGTTCACTGGTTTACAAGGTAACACTATTTTGTCCTTTTATTAAAAGAATAAATATTTATTGTGAAATACTTAGCAAAGATGAAGATGAAAGCCAGAATCACTCCTGATTTTACTACCTAGAGATAAACATTAGTTATGTGCTGGTGTGTTCTATTATATGTACTTAACAGATAGACTAACAGAGAGACACAGAAAAGAAAGATGTGTGAACATATATGAATGTGGTATATATCTGGCTCATTCATTTATATATACATATACATATATGTACACACACATATACATATATCAATCATTGTTTACACTATTTTTTCAAACCTGGCTTTCACTGAAAACTGTACCTTAAACTTTTTCGTGTCATGAATTATTTTTGCAAAACATGATTTTAAATAAAGTATGCACCATTTTCTCTCATTTAGAGGGTCCATAATTTATTTAGCCAACCCCATATTGTTGGGCATTTAGTTTGTTAAATTTTTAATAGCTGTTTAAATGATATGAACTTTTAGCGACATTAGAAATAAATAAGCCAAAAATCACACTGGAATTAAATTAGACTTACATTTAACTTGTAAATTATTTGAGGAATAGTGACATCCTTATAATATTAAGCTTTCCCTTACACAAACTTGGTACATCTATTTGCCTATTTATATTTTATATTACTCAACAAAGATGTGTAGTTTTCTTCACATAGTTTCAATAAATTTATTTATGTTTATTTGTACCATGTGTTTTGGCAGTTATCTTGAAAATATTATATTTTCTAACTGGCTACTGCTGATAGTAGGGAAGCTATTAAATTTTGTAATGGGCCCTTAAGTCTTCCCTTTTATTTGTTTTATTACATTTTTATGACATCTATGAATAATAATACATTTGTCTGGTACTTTACAACACTTACATGTTACCATTTTTCATTTATTATTGCATGGCTAGAAAGTTTAGGGCAACTGTTTTATAATAGCAGCGAAGGGGGTCATTATCGTGCTCTTTCTATGTTAATGGGAATTCCGCTAATGCTCTACCGTTAGGCAGGATGTTTTGCTCTTGGACTGAGATTGATTGCTTTGTGTTATAGCAAAATATCCAAATATCCTTCTTCTCCTACTTTACGAAGAGTTTGAATAGGAATGGATGTTGAAGTGTGTTAAGTGTGTTACCATTCTGACATCTCTCAAAATGACTACAGAGCTTTTCTTCTTTGACCTATGATTGAGCATGTTTACAGGGTAGTATTATATAAGGAAAACTTATCAGTTGGTAGCATATTGTTGCTTGAATAAATTGCTGGATTTGAATTACTAGCATTTCATATGGATGTCTTATATCACTATTCATAAATTCGATTAATCTGTTTTATTTTCTTGTGCTATCTCTATCACTTTTAGTATCAAGCTTACCACATAATCAAGGCCTTAAAAAGTCCTGTAGGAAAGAAGTCTGTTAAACTCTGTAACCCTAGAATTCTCAAAATCATTTGATTATAAAATCTACTTTTTATATAACTTGTTAATATTAAGTTAAAAAGTCAAATGAAAGGGAGAAATATTTACAATAGATATACCAAGACATACAGTAAAAATTTACTTGAAAAACCCTGTATATCAATACGGAAAAGGGAAATTATCTCATAAGAAAATGGACAAAGAATCTGAACAAATAATGGACAAAGGAAGAAACCTAAATATTTGAAAAGTCGCCCAGTCTCATTAGAATCAAACCATTTACAATTTTTTTAAATGAAAAATTTTTGCTCTCCTGTTGAGAAAAATTAGGATAACTGAAAATATCTAAGATTGGCAAAGGTGTGGGGAAAGCAGTGTTTATAACTATAAATGAGAAGAGCTATTTCGGATGGAAATTTAGCATTACTTATATAAAAAAAGAGAATATTGTTTATATGAGTTTCCTATTGCTTCTGTAACAAATTACCACAAATGTAGTGACTTAAAACAACATGAATTTATTATCTTACAGTTCTGGAGGTGAGGGGTCCTAAGCTGAAGATGCTGGAAGGGCTGGTCCCTTCTGGAGGCTGGAGGGGAGACGGTTCCTCGCTGCTCCCACTTCTAGAGGGCGGCCGCATTGCTTGGCTCAAGGCCCCACAGCACGTCAGCTGTGTCCACCCCCTGCTCTTGTCACCACATCACCACCTTCTTCTTCCGACCTTCTTGTCTCCCTCTTCTATGGACCCTTGTGACGGCATTTAGGACCCACCTGGATAACCCAGGGTAATCTCCCCAGTGCAAGATCCTTGACTTAATCACACCTGCAGAGTCACTGTCA